TAGCTGCTGTCGTACCTAGAGCACTGTCAGGGCTGTGACTCTGCACTCAAGTGCTAATGTCGAACCCCAGTTGGCTAGCTTTGGGAGGACTCTCTGATGGATTTATTTTAATCACCTCTGCTTGGTTGGGCCTTTGCAGAGGGAGGGTTTGGCCTGCCGCACCCTGGCTGACCCGCTTGGCCACTAGTTTTACAGTGTGGTGGAGCTGGTGGAGAGGGACAACTCGGTGTCCAGCCTGCTGAAGGTGTTCAATGACCAGGGCACCTCGGACCGCATCGTGCAATTCCTGCGCTTGCTCACCTCCGCCTTCATCAGGAGCCGGGCCGAATTCTTCCGCCATTTCATCGACGAGGAGATGGACATCAAAGACTTCTGTGCTCACGTGCGTAGGGGGCCTCAGCCGCACCTCTCCTGTCCCTCTGCTCGTATCCACCCCTGCAGGCATGCAGGCCACCAGCCAGGCACTTGGGCCATTTGCAGGTCACAGAGCACTGGGCCAGGAAGCTGGAAGCCAGTCCTTCCTGGACCATGTTGCCTCTGGACAGACCACAGCGCCTCTCTGGGCCAGTTCCTTCCCTCCCCACAGCAAGTAAGGGCTTAGGGCAAGAATGTTTATTAGCGGCTGCAGATTTACTCTCCCCCCCTTAACTATGCTCTGGTCGGGATATAAGGTGTTTATTTGAGAGCTGCTGGCATTTAAAAATTATCCAGTTCCCCAATTCCTCCAAGTCGGTGTACTCTTCTCATATGCAACAAAAGGGCCTGGGGTCCAAAAGATTGGGCTTACACCTTGCAATTAATTATAACTAGATTAATTCTTCTCGCTCACACATAACCCTCCCCACACCCACCCAACCCCCCAATCCAAACACCCTAGGTGTCAAGCCGGTTCCGATTTACAGTAATAACATGTCTGTTTTCTTGGCTGTAATTTGAAGCAGATCACCAGGCTGTTCTTGCGCTCTGCAACTGGGCTGACTTGAGTTCCCAGACCCTAACCTGTAATGACCTCCAGTGGCCACCCCAGGGGCCTGACGTCAGCAGAGACTGAGGATTGTGCGGGAACAGGGAAGGTTTTAGTGTCTTGTGTCTAATGTGCGACAGGCAAGAGCTGACATGACAGCCCCTCACAGAGCAGATTTTGCTGGCAACACTGCTCTCCTGAGCTGTGGCCACGACTTCCCAGGACAGGGCTCCTAACCCGTGCCCCTGAAAGCCAGGGCTGACCACTTCCCTCACTCAGCCCTCTAATCACCTGGCTTTCCGGTGGGGTCTTCTGTTTTCCTATTGGCCCGCGCAGGAAGTGGAGCCCATGGCCATGGAGTGTGACCACATCCAGATCACGGCCCTGTCGCAGGCCCTGAACATCGCCCTGCAGGTGGAGTACGTGGACGAGATGGACACGGCGCTCAACCACCACGTGTTCCCCGAGGCAGCCATTCCTTCCGTGTACCTGCTCTATAAAACATCACACTACAACATCCTTTATGCAGCCGATAAACGGTGATTACTTCTGGGCCTGCTCTGGAGCCTGTCACCTAACGGACTGCGTTCTGACTGGAGCGTCCTGGCGTTGGCGTTGTTTACGTGATGTAGCCTGTAGTTAGAACACGTGCCACCTTTCGGGCAGAGTCCCAGGACGCGAGGCCTCCGCACGTGCTCACGTGGGTACGGGTGGGATTTATTCTGAGGGGCAGGTGCTGTCTGACTCTGGACTGGCAGCCAGCAGCCCGCCTTGTCCTAGCTCCTGGGGACACCTTGAAGGGGGCCCCCTCTGGAGGACTGTTTCTTTGTCTGGACAAGGTTCCTGCCAGTATTAACTTTATATTGTAGGGAAAAAGTGGTTTTTTTCCCTCCACAGGGGCTGGGTTTTGTGTGAGGGGAGGAAAGTTCATGGTCACACCTGGCGCAGATGACTTACAGGTTCTGTAGAAAGGAACCGTGTCCCAGCACCCGAAGGTCACGTCAGTGGACACCACTTGAACTCTGGCCTGTTGAAGCTGACTTGAACATGGAGGATTCAGTAGGACCAAGGAGCCATGAGGCAAATCAGCTTTCCCACCTTCAAATTAAAAAAGGAAGAGGCTTTCGTGGTCCTGTTCAGAAGGGGCCTTTGGCTGGAGCCCGAGGGCCAGGTGGCCTGATGTGGAGGGTGGGTCCTCCAGGTCCTGCTGTCCGCCCCACCTGCCAGAGTGGAGTCTGATATTTACATTCACTGTCCCCAAAAGGTTCTAGGGTAGTGGGTAGCTCTAGGTACTCAGCTGGTGAAATCGTGGCCATGGGCGCCCGCTGGGCCTGCTTAAATCCATGGCTTTACCCCTTCCCATTTAGGGGCTGCTGATGGCTCAGGCCGGATAACAGGGATAATCAAAAAGAACTGGCACTAGGGCTGGAGACTTCTCATTCCGAGTGCCAGGCAGCTGAGGGCCCTGGCCAGCCGCCCCCTCGTCTACCCAGACTCCCCTAGCAAGCCACTGCCAGAGTCAGCTCTGATAGACTCCTTAACAACCTCACTTAGATGCCCCTCACTGGCTGGTGATGGTGGGTGCCCAGGGGAGAGGGTGGGGGGACCACACACCAGCTGGGCCGAATGCTCCCTCTGCCGGAGAACTTGGAGAACACAGGCTGTGAAGCTGTCCTTTGGGAACTTAGGGCCTCCTCCCAGGGTTCTTTGCAGGGTATTGATCAATCTGTCAGGGTATCGATCAATCTATTGGTGCTGCTTTGAGTTGACTGGGAAAAGCCAACAGCCCTCGGAGACTGATGTCAGGGGCTTTTATTCCAGGCAGCACCAGGTCCCATGGCTGTCCTCAGCCGGGACTTGGAGCAGGCTCAGGCTAGGTGATGTCACTTCCCTACAGGAATTGAAAGCTCACCCTGAGTGCTCTTTGCCCTGCACTGCTCTGCGGAGTGCCATCGGCCACAGGGCAATGGAGGGTGGGAGAATGTGCTTTGGAATGGATGGGTGCTGTCACGCATATCTCTAAGGATCTGTTTCTAAATAAGAGGGCCTGGTCATGCAAAGCTCTCCAAACTACCATCCTCGTCCTCATTCTTTAACACTACAGAGAAAAAGGAGTGGCAGAATTTAGCGTCACTTTAGGTAACAAAACATCATGATCACGCACGGATGGACAGCTGCCTTGTTCACCTGCAGGGCTCAGTCATGCTGACCACACACTCCTCGATGAATTCTCCACCTGCATCCCCAAAGCCATCTCCTTGCAAGCAAAAGCTACAAAGAAAGTTGTGTGTGACAGCTTGTCTTTACAACTACACATTTATTACTGTCTTTCCAAAGGAAACTATAAGCCGGTGGGAATATTTAGTGACAGAAGACGGTAAACTACTCTAGCTTTTGAGTGGCCCTCCCTATTAGCACCATCTGAAATAAAGAGTTCTGAGCCAGACGCCTAAGTATCTTGATTTCGGAGAAGTCACTTGCCCTCTCTGCCCTGATGTCCATATATGGGAACTGGAGACACTTCCCGCCAGGAGTGTTGGTAAAAATGGCAGGAGGCCGAGTATGTGGCAGCTGACACCTGACACCGTACACGTCAAGTGCTCTACAAATGGGATGGTCCCCAGTGTAGACTTCCCAGCAGAGGGGCCAGGTACCACCTGATGGCTGAGCATGCCACCTCGACTTTGATCATTCCCCCTGCAGTGGACATGGTCAGGGAAAGCAGAAATGGGCGGTGGGTGTGCTCAGGGGCCCATGGCTTCTGAGGGGCTGGTGAGATCTTCCTGACATTAGAACTCTTTCCTTACCAGCTTGTGCCCAGATTTCTCAGGGTCCCTTGCATGTGCTGATGAGCTGCATCTGCCTCGGGAGGCTAGCCCTAGTTTTTGAGGCCTCCCTTTTCATCCATCTTTCACTGTGTGGAGTCGATTACTACTCAGAGTGACTCTATGACTGTCCTGTGGGGTCTGCAAGGCTGTACATCTTTAAGGACACAGACTGCCACGTTTTTCTTCCACAGAGCCACGGATGGGTGCGAATCCTGGCTGAACACATGCTTTGCCAACACACTCTTAAACCTGCCCTGGGCCCAGGAGGAAAACGCTTGTGGGGTTTCTGCTGAGGGAGTCCAAATTACATGAACCTCAGGTATTCGGAGTCTATCTGCAGTAACCTCTTCAAAGACTCAGAATTCCCTCAACCAAGTAGCCGTGTCCCGTCTGCGAGCTTAAACACAGAAATTTAAAGACCTGTTCCTACCCTGGCAGTTCTCTGGACTTATCTAGAGAAAGCCAGGGCACCTTCAGGTCATTCATCCCCTCAGCACATACTTCCACCAGGCCTGACTTGCCCTAGAGCCCCTGGCCCAAGGGAGACAAGCACACAGGACAGTGTGATGCAGGCTAGAGTGCAGGAGAACGCTCCTGGGGCATCAAGGGCATCACCGCTACACAAGGCAACAGCAAACTGAGCTGAGGGCAAATCTGCACCAGAGTACTAGGTGCACAAGCAGCCAATGACAAGCAGGCAGAGATATAGCAGTGCACCAGATCTTGGGTGCTCAGTGGTGTGACTACTGTCCCTGCTCCTCCACCACCTGGGAAGCCTGTCCTCTGCTGACAGGAACTTCTTCCCCACTTACTTCCCAGGATAGCTGGGCTACAAGAGCGGTGACAGGGCAGAGGAGCTGTGAACACAGGGCAGCAACTCTCCTGCCCACTCCCCTCATGCTCAACTGGCGGGACACAGTCGAGCATCCTGCCCTGGGCCACAGTGCCATGCTCACCGGCCAGGGGGGAGGCCCAGCACCACGATCCCCCGGGAACTCAGTAACCAGTGCCCCCACCCATGTGCTCACTACAAATTCAGGACAATGTGAGGACTTCCAGCATTGGTTTTTAATATAAGAAAATAAACTTGTAACACTGGAATACAGAACTTTCCCCCCAAACAGGTATGTGAGTCTCTCCTGCTCTGCAGGAGTAGACCTGCAGTAAAAGGCAAGTAAACGTCCATCAGTCAGAGAGCGGACCCCGTGCTATTCCTGCACCCGGCCTGGGCATGAACCTGCACTTGGACTTGGCTGAGGCCGCTCCAGCTGCTTCCGCTGGTTCTGCTGCCGCTTCTTTTTATTCTGTTTGGAGATGCAGCTCAGAGCCGACTCGCCATTTCTGGAGGTAGACAGGACCACGGGCAGCCTGCCTGACTGAGTTGGGTACTTGGTTTTCAGGTCATGTTTAAACAATGGCTGGGAGAGTAGATGGCGCAGCTCCTGCTTCAGGATCTTCATCTGCTTCTGTCTCCGATGCTCTTCTTGTTCATCAGTTTTTCGTCCTTGACACACAATAAAGAAAACAAACCTGACTTACTGTGATTGTTAGAAACGTTCTATGTCCTTGGATGGATAATGCTCTCAATTAAAAATGTTTTAGAACCCTGACAAAAGCACGTTCAGTCCTCTGTGAAGTTAATGTTGTCAAGCCCTAGAAACAGCTAACTCGAACAGCCTGAGTGGGTCACCCTGTCCTTCACTGACGAAAACTCTTACGGGACAGTCCTCACTCACCAGTGGAGCAACAGGCAACACTGGTAAATGGAGAAAACACGGAAGTTGTCAATAACTATACTTGGATCCACAATCAACATTCATGGCAACAGTAGTCTAGACCCTCTCCAAGGTGTTAAGGGGCAATTGTGTCTTTGAGAAACTGCAACCAGTGTGCTCCGCAGAGGCGAGGATGGCCAACTCTGTCTGATACACTCTGGGCATACTGACTAGAATTCCAGTCCTTGGGAAAAGGCATTACGCTGGGAAAGCAGAGGCTAAGTGACAGAGAGGAGGCTCTTCAGGCAGCTGGACTGACGCAGGGACTGCGACAGGGCTCATAATGACAGGCAGCTCCGAGTTCCCAACTATTGTCCACAGGGTCACTATGAGAGGTCGTTGACTAGATGGCACCTACAAACAACTACTCCCGCTTGCTGCCCAAAATTTGTGAGTAACAGCTATAAAACAGGAGAGACCAACAGATTCATCCCTGAGTCCTATTGGGCTCAGGTTCAGAGCTGAAGCTCAGGCAAAGCCTGGTGATGGCACAGTTTTCCTGCACAAATCAATGTTCTTTAAGCCCCAGTTCCCATAAGTAAAAGGATATTAACTTCCACTGTGCTTCTACCCTGAAGTGGTAGAGATCAGATGAGATGATGACACAATGTACTCTCAACCTTGAAGGCAAATGTGGGTGTAGCAGTCACAATACTGATGATAAATAACTTAAAAGGCACCCAATACTTTGTATTTGCCAGGCACTGTTCTAAGCACTTTATAGCTGATAACTCAAGTAATCGTCACAATCTCCTGAGGAGTTGGTACTTTGTGCCACATGTGAGGTAGGTGGGACCTTGTGCTGCACTGAGGTAGGTGGGAGCCTCTGTGCTGCATGGTGTAAAACCAAGTGGAAGACAGCAGGGAGGTTAAGTAATCTAGTCTGAGCCTGTCCCTTCAGCACTCCAGTCCACAAGTCTCCACAGAGGGTGGCAGCGGAGAACTAGAGACAGTTAAGACAGACAGAACGAAGGCTGAGGCATGTTGGGCTCATGCTGCACTTGGCTCGTCAGAAAGTAAAGTGTCTGACAAACCCCGACGGCAGCAGCAATGGTTCCAAGCAGAGAAAAGGGAACTAGCGCAGCCCCAGGCTCTTACCCTTGTACATCTCTTCATCCAGCTCAATCTCCAGGGCAGCCGCCGCCTGCTCAATCCAGGAGTTGTGCACACAAGCCTGGAAGTTCCGATACTCGGCTTTCTCTATCTGTCGGGCTAAACGGATTCTCTCCTGCGAAGGGGCGGAGAAAAACCAGGGGTCATCTGAAAGCAGGTTCGGCCTTTGGGACGCAAACACACCTCTAAATCAAGTATGAAAGGCTCTTGCGCTCGGTGAGGTTCCTGGCACATGCTCAGGTCCCTTGGCCATGCGCTTGTTTCCTGGTGCATACCAATGACGACCGACGCAGGAGAGAGCAGAACAGAAGTGCGTCCTAGGATGTTACCGTAATGGGAGATTTCCAGGCTTGACTCCTGAGGAGCCACTGGATGGGTTTATACTGCCAACCTGGCACTACTAGCTGACGGTTAAGCATTGCTGTTTATTGCTGGTAAAAACCCAGGGGCAAACCTCCCACGAGCACACGTACTCATTAAGAGCCAGACGAACTAACAAAGCACAATGACCAGCCCTCCTCCTAGAAACCTGTCTCAGTCTGGGAACCTACAGGTGTCCAGGCCCAGGCAGTAAGGTTTACCAAAGCTTCGGGATTCTAGAGGGTTTGTGGCATTCAGTCACATCTGGCTGCTTTACCGAATGTGCTCAAACACACAAGGCTTCCCTTCAAATGCCCTGTCATTTCCAAATCCCGAGTTCTTAGGAAAGTCACCTCCCGGCACCTCAGTTAACTGCAGCAGGGGCTCACAGCAACTACGGACAGCCCCATTCTAAAGATGAAGAGTGAATGATGGCGGGAGGGGGCGCTGTCCAGGCCTCAGAGGTGCTGGGTGTGTGAACACTGAACGCTCGTCTCAGAAACAAGACAAACTCTGACTGCTTCATGTAAATGACCCTCTCAGCAAGGATCACACAGTAACAGTCACTCAGGGCAACAGCTAACTCAGTTTATTCTCTGAGGGGGGACAAAGAAAAATTCTGCAATCTCTTCAGAGAGGAAAGAAAAATCAGTAGTGGAGTAAGAATTAGTAGATCTCAGGTCTATAAAAAGTACTGATCAAGTGTCCAGAAAAACCCAACGCCTAGCACAAGGATTCACATCCCAAGACACTGACATATGAATGTGCAAAACACTCTAGGAAATGGGCAAACCAGGATCTGAACCAAGTCTGCTACTCACTCTCTACTCTGACCTCGACTGCCAGCCTCAACCATCACCTCTCTGGACCTAAGTTTGCTGCACTGTAAATACAGGGAGTTGGTTGGATAAACATTCTCTCTGGGTTCCTAAGACTGTCTGTCTGGGCCACTGTTATATGCCAGTATCTACAAAGTATCTGGCGTGTAGAAAGGACTTAATAAATATATGCTGAAGGAACAAACCAGAACACTCTGCATCATTCAACGTGAAGGGACACCTGTGTTGTCAAACATCCCCCACAGCTGAGCTGAGATCTTGACCGAACAGCCCCGAGTGAGGGCCACACACCTTTGCTCACTCAGCGGTCTCTCCTCTGGGTTTTTTGTAAATCTCCCTGCTTTATGGTTAGCAGATCATTACTGAGTTTTCATGGGTCATGGTGCTGTAGCTGTACAATGAGGTGTTCCAGAAGGATCTATGGAATCCCCTAGTGTTTTTTTACCTTGACTGCATCCATGTACTTTGTCTCCACAGGGAACAGAGGGATGTCCTCATCTTTCTTGAGCGTTTTGTAAATCTTCTTAAAGTTGATCACATCGTCAGGTCCAATGAGCATCAGGCTCAGCCCTTCATTGGTGGCACGAGCAGTTCGACCACTTCGGTGGACATAAATCTCCGAGGTCCGGGGGACCTGTCAAAGGAGGAGCCAGGAGGTCAAGTACACAGCAATGGCCCAAAACTGCTCTGCTCAGAGCTGTATCCAACACCCTCCAACCAGACAAGAATCCCCTCTAGCATGTGGACCAACCCAGAACTCAGACCACATTCTAACTGTCCCCAGGTTTAGCCCAGTCACTGGGTATGTCTGCATTCCCCATGCTCCCATCCTGGTCTGCACCTGATGACCATTCTACTGGGAGACTGCAGTCATTTCCTCTGTTGTTGCTGAGCCATGAGTTGGAACTAATGGTCTCTAGGCTTTTCCTGTTCCCCAACCCTAGCTTGAGAGTACAAAGGTCATCTTTCTGAGCCACTGCTCTGACCATGTTACCTTCTCTTTCTACAAGAAACAGCACTGGTTCCTCATGAGCTCTGCATGGGTGATGGACAATGTCACCGAACCAACATTTACTGCGTGACTACTATGTGCCAGGCAATCCTAAGCACCCTGCATGCACACTTCACCTTCACCTGCTGACACAGCTGACATTTCACCTGTTATACACCAGGAAATTAATCTCAGAGGAAGCAACTCCTCTGAGGCTACCGAACCAAATGGAACCGGGACTGGAACGGAAGCAGTCCAGCTTCAGAGACCATGCAACATGGAGCACACTGCCTCTGCTGCAAAGAATGACAGCGCATGCCGAGCACTCCGCCCCCCAGCCACTCCACATTACTAACTAGACCGCAGATGCTGAGTACTCTCTGTCCACTCCCAAGTCTTCTCTGAGACCACCAACATTTCACTATGTTCTAAAGTGCTCTAAGCAGTCACTATGAACTATGAATAACAGTGCTGGAAATTATTTCCGTTTGCCTGCTTCATCTCAAGGTTCGCTTCAACTCAACACGTGGAGCTTTTCATGACTTGCCTGTAGCCTCTCCAACTACTGCTCTCCCAACACAGCCTTGCTCTCACACACAGCCACAGTCCCTGAGCGCTGCCTCCTACCCGGCTCACCATGTTCTTTCTGTTCTCCTTCCTTTCTTACCTCTCCACATGTCCAAAAGCTCTCTATCCTTAAACACCAAGTTATCGTTTAAAAAGTACCTTCCAACTTCGTCCAAGCTGTAAGTTCTCCCTCCTGTATGCTATTTTACATTTAGTTATCTCCTGCTTTAAATGATAGCTGTGGGCATTCCACCTCCTCCACTGGACTGACACATGTTGAAGGCTTGGACTCTCTAATCCCCTTGTTCAGTCTGAGAATGCTCATAAAGATTTATCTAGTCCCATCTCAAAAAAGAAAAGGGCGAGTAAAGATTTGCTAAGCTGAACTGGTACCCTTAAATATTTTTAAAAGCACAGGGGATTATGGGGGAGAAACAATTACCACATCCCAATAGCTTCCATTTATCAAGCACTTGGCCAATGCTAAGTGTGTTATCTGTATTAACTCATTATAATTCTCATGATAACCCCATGGGCTATAGTCAGCATTTTTCCTTTGAATTTGTAAGCAGGGAAACCAAAGAAACATAATTCATTAGCCCAAAGTCACATAGCTATAAAGTAGTATACTAGGGGTTTAAACCTGACCATCTGTCCCTGGAGCCCAGACTCTTGACCACCAACCTATGCTTTTTACTAGGTACGCGCACTATATTAATGCTACTAACACTTAGCAACAAAGTGCCGGGTGGCCTCCTAAGTGCTTTATATGTGTTAACTTATTTTAGCCTAATAATAACCCCAAGAAGCAGGCCCTATAATTACTTCACTTAACTAAGGTACAGAGAGATTAAGTAACAAAGTTGCACAAGTGGCATTTCTGCCAGGCGGGCTCCTCACCAACATGCCTGCTACTTCTCTACACCTCACACTCTGAATTCTATCTATTTTCTGGAGGCAGAGAGAAGATTCTATGTAACTGCTCCAAGTCAAAAATGGAGGCCATCAATGAATGAATGGAAACCCAAAATCTCTGTAAATGTTTATGAAAATTAATAAAATATAATTATAGAAAAAAAAAATGGAGGCCATGTGAATTCAGAACATATCCTACAATTTACATCCCTCAGTAGGGATGTAACATCAGTAGGAGACTAGCCGTCACCGAGATTCTCTGCTGCATAATGACTGGAAACAAAGAATCCCTCCTCCATTCCCACTACTTCTCCTTGGCTTGATCTAAAGCTAACAGGTACATGTTGTTATGTGCCATCAAGTTGCCTGCAACTCATTGTGACCTCATGTACAATAGTCCTAAAACCTGCTCTATCCTTTGCCAATCTTACTGTCTCCGACACACCGCACTGAATTAGTCCATCTCATCAAGGGTCTTCCTCTCCTGCACTGTCCCTCCTCCCTTCCAAGCATGAGGTCTCTCTCCAAGGACTGGTCCCCTTCCTTGCAGCATTCCCAAAGTATGTTAGAAAAAACCTCAGAATCCTTGCCTCCAAGGATTAGCCTCGTTTCACCCTCTCCAGGATGAACTTGTTTGTTCTGGCCGTCCATGGTGTAGATTCATAGCTCAAAGGCATCAATTCTCCTGCTATCACCCCTAGTCATTGTCGAGCTCTCTGACAAATAACAAGTAATTGCAAAGACTATGGCCTGGATCAGGCACACCTTAGTGTTAGTCTCCAGACTAACATTATTGCTCTGCAGTATTCTGGAGAGGTTCCTGACAGCAGACTTTCCCAATACAATTTGTCTTTTGATACACATTTCCCAAGATCCCTACCTGGTAATGGATGACATGCTGGACTTCAGGAATATCCAGACCACGGGCTGCCACATCAGTTGCCAGAAGAACACAGCTGTGGAAAGCAAAGCTTAGTAAAGATCAAAGCTAACAGATACCACTACTCAACTCCTACCATCTAATAACTACTGAAAACACCCTACAAGATCCTGACTTTATTGACCCTGACAGATGAAGAAATAGAGGCTCAGACATTAACTTGGCCAAGATACACACGTGGGCCAGGATCCAAATGTCTGACTGCCCACAACTAGAATGCCACACACTCTGCAGTAACAAAGGCCCATTTCAAGTGCACTTCAGACTGAGCCAGTGACCCCAACTCCAATCCCCTCCCCGCTGACTTTCCTCTACAGATCTTGTTATTGTTCAAAAACGCCAAGCACGCAAATGTCACCTCCTCAGAGTAGTTCCCCGACCCCATGCCAGTCTTCTGCTCTATCTCCTGCTCAACTTCGCCTCTACGTGTTTACTACACGCTAACATTTATTATCTCCCTCCTTTCAAAGATAAGCTTCCCGACCTCAAAGACTTGGACTCTTCATTGTTTATTACCAACATACAAGACAGTACCTGCTTCACAGTAAATACTCAATAAATTCGTACTAGCTGGTATTTCTTCACGTTTGTCTTGAAAAGTCAAAAGCACTTGAGAACTTTTAAAATTTAAGATTTAGGGCCCTTTTGGGACTCCATTCCTTCTATTTCTAAGGCAGGATCAGGGAATGTGACACAAGTTGAAATTTGTGAAACACTAAACTACTGCTCTGTGTCAAGGATCAGCAATTTCTTCTGTAAAGGTCCAGAGAGTAACTATTTTTTACATACACTTTCTGTGGCACTTACTCAACTCTGCCAAGCTCTGCTCTAACTAATCTCAGTAGAACACTCACAGTACCTCCAATATTCAAAAGGAGACACCTGGAAATTGATCACCCGGTGACCTGACAAAATACCGTGGGGAAACTGCCAGCGTCCCAGGCCCTCATCTTACAAATGCACCTTGATCCGTGAGGTGGGACAAAGCAAGTATTCTAGGGTCTGAATGACTGTGTGAAACCCAAATCTGATACTTCTCGGCTGAGAAACTGTGAGCAAGCGGCGGAAGAGCGTCTCAAGATCTCACTTTATGCATAAACTTGTGAGAATAATAATAACCATGCAGTAGCAGTGGAAACAAGAACTACCAAAGCTAAGAACTAGTCAGCAAATACTATGAGCCGGGCTCTGTTCTAAATGCACTGTATGTATGGACTCACAATCATTTACTCATTAACTAAACAACAGAAATATTTTTCATTATCCCAAGCGTATGAATGAGAATACCACAGCAGAGAGAGGTTAAAGAACTTGACCAATTAGGAAGTGACAGAGCCAGAGCCTGACCTCAGGCAGTGAAGTTCCAGCATCTGTAAAGTATTAATCACAAATCTATTCTGCTTCTTCAGGATATGAGAAGTGGCTTTAACAACGGAGCAGAAGTGCCAGTCACTAGCAGTGCTGGCATTCTATTAGGGAGGTGTCTGGTGGGCACTGTCAGTAACCAAATGAAGGTGATCCTGCCTTCTGCTGTCAAACAAGTCTACCTTCTTAACAACGAAGCCCTCGGGATAAAAAGCTGTCTCCCTCCCTAGTTCGCCCCAGCACCCTGGCCCAGTATCTAGGGACTGAGCCTCTGGGGACAGACCTGACTTACTCTTTGAGGCGGGCAAACTGCTCCAGGTTTTTGAGCCTCTGCTTCTGGTGCATACAGGCATGTAGGGAGAGCGGCATGATATCCAGGACTTTGAGAAGTCCTGAGAGGCGTTTGATGCAGGAAATGCTGTTGGCAAACACTAACGTGCGGCCTGGATATTGCAAGAGGAAGTAGTACAGGTAAAGATCTTTGTCGTCAGTCTCACAATGGATCTTGGTCTCCGTTAGCGTCTCCACTGTGGCCTCATTTCTTGTGAGGTCAATGACCTTGGGCTTGCTTCTCATGCCAATCTTCTGCATGAGAAGGTCAAGTTTGGCAGTTTTGTCTATCTTCTTGGTGTGCTTCTTATGAAGGATTCGAGCAGGGGCTTGATGTACCAGAGTCAATGTGGCAGAAAAAACAAGTGTCTGTCTCTTTGGGTTGTACTGAGAGTCATTAAGCAACTCCAATAGCTGAGAAAGCTCAGCAAAGTGGCCTTTCTCAACCATCCGGTCAGCCTCATCCACCACCAGGCACCTGCAGATCCAAACACATCATCTCATTAGCAGCACGTAAATGAATAGACCACTACATAGCCTCCACCCAGCCAAAAAACATGTAGACAACCCCCACCCCCACCCCCAAGAGCCTCAATTAATCTCTTTCATGTGTGCTTGGTTTACTGAAGGTCAAGTTTGAGGGCACTGCACCCTTTGACAGCAAGAACGCTGCACACATCACCACGTTATTTTAGGCCCTTTTAGAGCAGGGAGTAAGGAGGAGTAATACTGGGTCTCACCTAAGCTGCCGAAGGTTACTCAAATGAGGGTGCTTTTCCTTGACCAGTTCCCAGAGGCGGCCTGGAGTGGCAATCACAATCTCAGGGTGGCGGTTCAGCATCCTCTGTTGTTTCTGTGCAGACATTCCACCAACCAAAATAGCAGTTTTAATTCCTGGGGCACAAAAAAGATACCATCACTCAACCTGTCTGCTTAGTTTCTTTTTAAAAATAATATTCTATTTTTAGTGAAGGTTTATACAGCAGTATAGGTTCCTATTCAATAATTTCTACAAAAATGTTTTAATAATAATAATGGTTACACTCTTCCTAATGCCTGATTAAGCTCATTTCCATTCTGGTTGCTCTGTTTCCATTGATCTAATTTCCCTATCCTCTTATGTTCTCAACTTTGTTTTAAAGTCATTGCTGACCATCTAGTCTCACATGGGTGATTTTTAAAATGAGCCATAGAACTAAGAGGTGCTATTCATTATTTCTGGAACCAATTTGTTCTGTAGCTACCAGGTAACATCAGGGTTCCATTTCAAGTTCAAGGTTTGAAGAGTATCTCAGGGCAAGAGTCCCCATGGGTCCTGTAGTCTCAACCAGTCTAGCAGGTCTGTTTTTCAGTTTGTTTTTAGGAATCTGAGTTCTTCTGCACATTTTCCTCCAGTAATATTAAGGTTTATCTACTGTGGCCCTGAGTAGAACAGTCAGTGATGGTCATTATGTTCTCATACAACCTGCACAGGAGCCCCAGATGCAGAGGCAATCACCAGCAAAAATCCCTCTCTAGTAGGGTGCTAAGAGCCAGCCTGGTATGTTAGGGTCAATCCAGAGGGTAGACCAAGTCTTCTGTGAGCAGGGTCCTGACTGCTTTCTCAACCTTGATTATTTTTGCTTCTCTCCTCCAGACAGAACAGGAGGTCTGGATCTGAACCTACAGGTGCTTACAACCAAAGCCTTGAAAACACTAAGCAGTGGTGTGTGCACCAGAATGCTGGAAAGGACAATACTGGCAGATGCGTGACACATCTCTCCTAAAAAGCCCTAGAAACAGGGAGCTCTGGTAAGGAGCTTGCACTGACAAAGACAGGCAGTTCAAATCTACCAGCTACTCTGAGGAAGAGGGCAATCTCATCCCAGGATTTGCAGTCTTGGAAAACCCACCAAAGGTCAGCTCAGAGCTGATTCTGACTCATACAGCAATGAGCTGAGGTGCTGTGACCTAGTCTAAATCTTTCCTTGTGCCCTGCTCTTCTCTCGGCACAGCCAGTGTGAGAGGGACGGTACAGAACAATGCAGGGAAACACAGGGAAATGTCAAGCACATATGAAGAACTCAATATGTAACTGCTGGTTTCATTATTAAAAATCCCATTGTGCAGTCCTTGCCAATAAGGGATTCCTTGAGAGAATTAATCTGTAATATTCTAAATCAGGAACAAATAATTTTTTTTTTCCCTTAACAGCAAACATTTTCGGTTTTGCAGGCCAGATAATCTCTGTAACTAATAACTCTACTCATTTCTGAAGTACAATGGTAGCCATAGAAAATGTGTAAACAAATGTAAACCTTTATTTAGAAAAACAAGCAGTTTGCCAACTTCTACCTTAAACATCTACTATATCCAATAAATTAACCAATTTTCTAAGAATCTAGAATGGCACTATCTATCTTTGCAGAACTAAGAAAAGTGTCATTCAATTTTCAACCAGATTAATTCTCTAGCAGAGAAAAGATTCCCCTAGAGACCAGAAGTCACAGTTGATGACTCTCTGCTATCCTTGCATCTAGGACGCTTTCAGGAAACAGTCATTAGAGGGAGTAAATCTCACCTGTAAACCTGGCCACGGCATCAACATGCTGTTTGACTTGGACAGCCAGCTCTCGAGTAGGAGTCAGAACCAGTCCAAGCAGAGGACGCTTCGAATGCTCTTTACAGGTGCTAATTCTGCCACTCAACGATCCAGTCTGCCCGTCACTGAGCTCTTCCTCTTCCTCCTCATCCTCCTGGGAGACGGGGTTCTCCCTGTTCAGGGAAGGTCCTTCACCAGCATCACTAGGGAATTCCATGACTTGGTCTGCGCTGGGCGCCTTGGTCGTGGCTCTGGCCCTGTCAGGTGGTGCTCCAGCCCCATTGGTCTCTTCTTCACCATCAACTCCAGCCTCATCAGGCGGTATTCCAGACTCGGTCCTGGCCTTGCGTGATGATCCAGTCTGACCTGTGGCCTCTCCGGCGAGCACTCCACAATTATTTGGAGTTGAGGCAGGCTGCTTCTTCTGCCACTGCAGCACTGCATTAATCATCGGAATAGCAAAGGCAAGAGTTTTCCCACTTCCTAATGGGGAAAAAAAATGGGAATCAACAGATGCACATACTTTAATCTATGACTATCTTTTGCATAAAATGGGAGAAACTGAAACCACAAGGTACCACCCTGGCCAATCCAAAGGCCTCCACTCGACAGCTTTCCCCCAACACTCTAAAGGTAACTAGGGGGCTTGGGAAAGTCCAGCCAAGTCATATATACCTACACACTGACAATGAGGTCTCATGTCAACAATGATGAACTAAAGACAAAAGCCTGGGAGCTCTGGTGGCAAGAAGCTGTGCTGCAATCCCAAACGCTCGTGGTTCGAGGCCACCAGCTGCTCTGTGGGAGAAGGATGGATAATCTCCAACTGTGTTATTAACGGCCTCTGAAAAACCACTAGAGGGTCAGATATGGGTCAGTTCTGACTCTACAATATACAACAAGACCCTGCAGGTGTTGGTTTCATATTCATCAGAAGACAAATGCTCAAGCTGTGAAACTGTAAAGGAATAAACGGTGGGTGGGCACACACTTGCATAAATGCACCGTTGTTCTTGTCAAAGAGTAACTATAACTTAGGGGTGGAGGGCAAATTCACATATTTTTTATTACCAAGACATTAATGAGAGGAAAAAAATTCAGTTTGTAATTGAATGTTCCATGGACTGCCAAGAAAACAAACAGATCCATCCTAGAGAGGGTTAAACCAAGCTACTCCTTGGAGACAAGGATTCTGGGGCTCCGTGTGACATACTTTGGACATGTTGTAAGGAGAGACAGGTCTTTGGAGAGGGACATCATGCTGGGTAGAGTAGAGGGACAGCGCAGGAGGGGAAGACCCTCTATGAGGTAGATTGATTCAGTGACTGGGGTAATCGGGATGGGAGTGTCAGAGACTGCGATTGGCACAGGATAGAGCAGAGTTTAGGGCTGTTGTACATAGGGTCGCTATGAGTCACAAACGACTCAACGGCACATAACAACAACAATTAAAATTGCTTGTTATTAATCATATAAAAGGTGGAAAACCAAAATGAAACCCAAACCCCGGCAGGCCAGATGTTTCCTCCTCGTGGTGACAGAGCAGAACTTCTCCATGGTTTTCGTGGCTGTAGCCTTTATGGAAGCGCTGTCACTGAGCCTTTCTGCTGGGTGGATCTGAATTGCCAGTCTTTAGGGACAAATCATTTGTGCAAGCCAAGGACCTTTGCAAGGTGAGGTGAGGCACTCACCCCATCTTTTTTGGTGAGGAAAGAAAGTAAAAGAAAATTTTCTCACATTTTCAGAAAATTTTAAAATAGCACTGCTTTTGTCAATGTTTGAAATTTTCAAACTGGCCCTTGAATATTTACATATGGAGCAAACACAAACTCCCATCATCAAAATAAGCAAACCAAACACCTAAAACTGAGAACATAACGTACTACTAAAGGAGGTCCCAAGTGATAATGTCTACGCAGCAGCAAATCAATGTTCTCTCGAGTAAGAAATCTTTATCATAGGTATGAAAGAATTCTCACAAGTAATTTTCAAAAAGACAACAAAAAGGGAGCCCTGATGGTCTAGTGGTAAGAAGCTGCATTGCAGTCCTGAAGGCACATGGTTCTAATCCACCAGATGCTCCGCTGGAGGAGGGGCAATCTCTTCCTGTGCCAGTTGGATCTGATTAAACGGTACACAAGAAAAAAAGACAGAAAAAACCACAAAGTGTTCTTAGGGGGAAAAAAGCTGTCTCTACTCTTCCACATACTAACTATATACCTGGCAGTAACAAGTGATAAAGTGTGAGCCGGAGTAATGCTGGTTACGACGTTTAAGGTCATGTGTCAACTTAGCTGGACCATAATTCTCAGTGGTCTGCCAGAGAATACCGGAAAGATGTCTATCCGTGTTTTATCGCTTTTATAAAGGCATTCAACAATGGGGAGCACAACAAACTAGCATTAAGAAGAACGGCAATCCTGAACAATTAATTGTGTTCATGTGGAACATCAATACACAGACCAAAGAGAAAATAGAACAAAGGGACATGAAATAGCTTAAAATAAGGAAATGTATGTGTCCCACCCACTGAAGCAGAGTCAAGAAATGAAGTGATGCACTGCACTGGGCAACTCTGCTGCTCTTTGAAGTGCTAAAGGGCAAAGGTGTCACTTTTAGGACTAAGGTGTGCCTGCCCAAGCTAAGTTATTTTCAATTGTCCCACATGCATGTGAAAGCTGGAATAAAGGAAGACCAAAGGAGAATCAATGTGTTTGAATTGTGGTGCTGCTGAGAATACAGAATACACCAGGGACTGTAAAAAGGACAAACAAATCTGTCTTGGCAAAAGTGTAACCACAATGTCTCTTGGAGGCAAAGATGTTGAGACTTTGCCTTACTGTGCTGTAGACACATGAGCAGGAAGGATTAATGGAAATAGTGGATCAAACCCAGTGAAAGAACAGGAGATAGAGTGAATGGCATTAGTCTCCAAAGTGCTAGACATAATCACAACTCCCCACAACACATGGGTTCATGGAACCTCAAATGCAAAGGAGCAGCAGCAAGTCTCCCAAGAACGCACATAGGGCTCAAATGTGGCCAAGTCTCTCGAGATCTCGAACAAGACTAGGAATTTACACAAATCACTTTTTCCTCTCCACTCACAGTTGGACACCCACCTTTCAGCATGTTTCCCTATCTGTCCCCCCCCCCTTTTTTTGTTTCCTGTTTTGCCAGTTTGTTACTTGGACGGCAGTCTCCCAGTGTGCCTTCCCAGGTGGTCTGTCTAGCATTCCCGTAGGAAGTCAAAGAGACGAACAGATAACAACTACAAGCCATAAATAACTGGATGGCAAACAACAATATACAGAATGTACAAGAATTATCAAAACTCAATAAAAAACCAAACTCAATTAAGAATGGGCAAAAAAATTGGACACTTCACCAAAGAACGTAATACGAATGATAAATGTTGTTATTTTTATGTGCTGTCAAGTCGCTTGCAACTCATAGTGACCCTATGTACAACAGCCCTAAACCCTGCTCTATTCTGTGCCAATCGTACTGTCTCTGATACTCCCATCCTCATGACCCCAGTCACTGAATCAATCCACCTCATAGAGGACCTCCCCCTCCTGTGCTGTCCCTCCACCCTCCCAAGCATGATGTCCCTCTTCAAGGACTGGTCTCTCCTTACAACATGTCCAAAGTATGTTAGATGGAGCCTCAGAATCGTTGCCTCCAAGGAGCCGCCCGGTTTAACCCTCTCCAGGATGAATCTGTTTGTTTTCCTAGCAGTCCATGGCACCCTCAATACTCTTCTCCAGCTCCATAGCTCAAAAGCATCAATTCTCCTTCTATCCTTCTTAGTCACTGTCCAACTCACTAATGAAAAGACGAGTTCTTTGTTCATGAAAACCAAACTCATTCCCATCAAGTTGATTCTGACACATGGCAAACTCCTGTTACAGCTGAACTCCATAGGTGCTTTTTGGCTATCATCTTCACAGAAGCAGATGACTAAGACTTTTGGCTGGGGTGCTGCTGTGGGAATCTGACTGCCTATCACACACTCTGAACATAATGGGTGACCTAGAATATGTAATAGTGCTTATACAAAATCTATTCATAGACCAAGCTGCTGTTCAAACTGAGCAGGAGAACAATGCATGGTTTAATGCCAAGAAAGGTGTGTGTTAGGGCTGCATAAATCATTCGAGAAGGTGGAATCTATGACGTTGACTTTGAGTCAACTTACAACTGGTTTTTCCCTCAGGGTGACTGTGAGGAATGAGTTCATCAATGAAAAGTAGTTAAGGCCAATACGTGATGCAATTTAAGTGCAGTAAACTGTATTACTATTGTTGTTGGTAAGTGCCGGGGAGTCGAAGGCGACTCATAACGACCCTATGAACGAAAGACCTGGACTCTGGTATAACTTTTGTCCTTTCTCCAGGTTCACAGGTTTCCAGAGGCAAGTTATGGAAGCAGATGCCACTTCTGCTTCCAAGCTTGTTTTAATGATGGAGCTCCACCACTGTCCACCATGGGTAACCATTCTCGCATTTAACACATCAGGGTCACAGTGTTCAGCTTCACTGCAACCATGAGTTACCTCTGTACAGCAAGGGGACATACCAGGGTTATACAACCTAGAAGGATGTTTCACCTAAAAAAAAGTAAAGGCAGACCCGAAGGCTGTGGATTAGTCACCCACCTTTGGCTTGGGAGCATGACTTTCTGTCCATTAGGCCAACTGATGTCTCTCTATGCTTGTATTATTATTAGTTCTTTGTTAATCTCCTAGGTGTCCTACCCACTCTTTCCATTTGTGTGACCCTCACGCCAAGATTTCTGATCATCCACTCAGAAAACCCCAAGACACAAAACATGCTGATAGTCTTACTCTACACTACATAATACAGCAGCTAGTGGCCAAATATGGCTATTTAGTGTTTGCAATGTATTTCAACTGGGATGTACTTTAAAATGCACACCTGATTTTTTAGACACCAGAAAGACTATCTCAATAATGTTTCCTTAATTATCTTTTTCCGTAGGACCCGTAGTCTCAGGGAGGTAAAAACCTGCCTTGGGTACCTACCAGTCAGAAAGCAGATGTGAACCCAGTGCTAGTGGGTTTCCAAACATTTGCACTTAATATTGCCTTTGAAGTTTCTCAATTTCCCTCTCCTAGTAATTTAGCCCATTAGCAGTTATAAGCACAATCCAGAGACCAGCCCGCCCCAGCTAGACCGGAAACACAGACCTGTCTCAGCAGCCCCGAGGATGTCCAAGTTGTCACGGATGGCGGGGGCCAGGGTCAGGGCCTGGATGGGTGTGGGTGCAGAAAAGCCTAGAAAGCTGAGTGCTTGGAGTACGGGCTTAGGCACAAAGAGGTCTTTCCAAGCTGAAACGTCAGCCTTCTGGTCTTGCAGTTCAGGCATCCATGTCTTTGCTTTTTTGGGCACTTTTGGAGTAGTGGACACCTTCGGAGAAGTGGATACCTTTGGAGCAGTACCCTGGGGAGGATCCAAGGGTTTTTTCCCTTTCTTTTTCTTCTTTCTTCGAACAGTGTGGGCTTGGCTTCCTGATGTTATTTCCCCGACCTCTGGCTCAAAGCAACCAGAATCATTCTCCTGTGGCTCTAGCTGGGCATCCTTGACCTCAAGTTGTTTTGGGGTGCTGGTCCCTTTAGTTTCCATGTCTTGACTCTTCTTCAACATGATCTTTTTCTTTGGGGAGCTGGTCTCTCCATCCTCCTCCCCTCCTTGTGAAATAGCTTGCGCCTTTCTTTTCTTGGGCTTTTCCTCTGAGAAGAGGCTCAACGGATTTTGGGCAGGTGAGACCAAACAATAATCTGTCAGTTCCTCAAAGCACACTAAATCATCCATTTGCCCATCTGCAAACAAGTTTGGGTCAATCGTCACCTGTTTCCATTTCCCCACAACTTTGATTCCCTTCACCTTCAATTTGTCATGGGCTGGTGGCTTTCGCCTTGATTTTGTCTCCTTCAACTTCATGGTTGCTGAAAATAAGAGAAACAGTCTATTAGGGTGGCAACTGAAAAAGTTCTGAAGCAATATTAATACAAGTTAGGACACAAGATTTCTCTAACACTGTTCTACTAGGGAAAATCAAGAGAGAATGAAACACACCACAGATTTACACATATATGTGGATGGGAAGAAACGAGCATGTGTATCTGCAGGCATATGAATGCTGCATATATTCATGGTACAATAAAACACAAAAAGAGACTTCTTAGACATATCCAAATGCCTCTCTGGGAGGCTTTTCTGGATTAAAAGGCTCAGGACATGGTTTCATGGGACAACTCAGTCGGGTGAAATAACACACAGTTTCTAAAGATGGTGTTCTACATTATGTTTCAGTTGAGTGCCATCTAGAATTACAAGGGCTTTTGGGTGGTCATCTAAGGTACAAAACGACTGGTCTCCATTCTTGTGAAGCACAAGAGAATGAAGGAAATGAATGGCTCAGAGAAGAAACTAGCCTGTAGGACCAGTTACTCGTACACCCACAGTCTCTTCTAGCCTGAGAACGGAAGAACTAGATGGTGCCCAACATCTATTACCAACCAGTTCTGACCAGAGATATAACGGAAGGTACAGAAGAAAAATGTATGACAAAACCCAACTTCCGAATAAAAAGCTAGATCTACCGAGTCAACATCCAACTCTATGGTTGTTATGTGTGGTTGAGTCACTTGTGACCCATAGTGACCCTATGTACAGCAGCTCTGAACCCTGTCCTGAGCCAGTCTCACTAATTCCCACACACCAACCCCCATCATGCTAGTAACTGTATCAATCCACCTCATCTGAGGTCTTCCTGTCCTGCGGTGTCCCGCCACCCTCCCAAGCACGATGTCCTTCTCCAAGGACTGGTCCCTCCTGGGCACTGCCAAAGTATGTGAGCCGGAGCTTCAAAATGAGCCTTCCTCTACGGTACAAAACAACTGAACCAACAGAGGCTACAGGGGCCCGTGAAACCACAGCCCCAGAACACCCTTTCCATTTAGAACTGAAATCCTCCAGCCAAACAGTAGCTTGCCTTATAAAATTCTCACTCATCAATAACGCGCTCTCTTAAATACTAAGAACAATCTGCATTTACCCAAAGCAAAGTCGAGAAGGCGGCAAAGAGTGAGGAACCTGGAAACACAGAATGGAGAGAATGTGAAACCTGTCACCCGTGTCACAGAACAAGCTGCGTACAAGTTGGCACGTGGGGACCTAATTTACTGTGCAAACGCACCAAAAACGCAATCATGAAATATTAGTTTAGAAAAGAAGAAACAACGCAGTGAAGGGGCAGCTTGGCCTGGAACCGTGCAGATGGCACTGACACCTGATCAACCCGGTTTAGTTTCCGATCAAAGCCTGGCTGCTCGCGAGGAGGTCCACACGCGATAAACCTGGTTGAGTTTCCGATCAAAGCCTGACTACCTGGTTTAGTTTTAAATCAAAGCCTGACTGCTCGCGAGGTCCTGGCTCGAGCAGCTCCTGCTCTCCGACCCTCCGTGTTCTCTCTTTTAACGGGGTGAAGACAAGGAACGCTACGTCCCGAGGCGCCTCTCCAAGTCCAGGGGACCCTGGGCAAAGCGTGGAAGGGCAAGTCTCCCCTTCGCCCTTAAAACAGACTAAACAGGAGAGGGTCTGCGAGTGAGGTCAAGCGGCAAGTTTTATTAACACGCTTTCCTCCCCCTAACGCCGTCCTTGCGGCCCACCCAGCTTTCCAATACACTGTCAGTGACTCGAAGGCCATTTAAGCACAAGCCTTTCGGAGGGAACTCAGTGCAGGGCGGAAGGGTCAGCCTGGGTTCGAACCCCGCCCCCCTTGCGGAGGGTTAATGCCCGAGAAAGGGTCCAGGCGCCAGGACGGGACCAAGAGGCGGAGAACGTGCTCTCAGCGAAAGGACGACATCGGCCGGGCGGGGTGGCCGGGGAGTGCGGCCGCCCTTTCCAAGCCCGGGAACCCAGAAGCCCACCCCAATTTCCCTCTGGCGCAGGCCCCAGTCTTGCTCTAAGCCCAGTACTCAACCTTGGAGAGAAGCTGCCGATCAAACACACCGATCGAACACTTCGGAAACAGGCGTGTCACCCACTCGGCGGCAGAACCGAAAGTAGTTCCGGGGCAGGCCGACAGCAGCGAATGGGAGAGCATGACGAGAGGAAGTCCCGCCCCGAGCCTAAAGACTGCAATCTGATTCGCTGGGACGCGAGGCCCGGCGTCCTGGAGAGCATGCGTGCTGCTCATTCATACATAAAAAGGAAGGGGGCGGCAACGTGTCTGAGAACAGGTGCTAGGGACTCTAGGAGCTTGATGTTGGGAGGACCCCTCTTTTCTATTTTCCCCCAATACTTTTTTTTATACTGATTTATTGACAGAGTTCGAATACATTGTTTTTCACGCAAGATCTTTCCCCTTTCCTTCTGATTGCTTCTAATGCCTTGAAATAAATGATCAATTTCTTTTTTAAACTTCGAGGAGGTGGTGTTAGGAGCACTTTACTGTTGTAAAACGGGACTAAGATGGCGGTTGGGGAAAGACTGAAAAAGATGGGATAAATTATGTATACTGCATTGAAACAGATGAGGGAGAGAACTGTTTAAAAGGGATATGTATTATTGTCATGACAGGAGTCCAGAACGAAGGCTGCATAGTGAAGTGGACCTGGCGGGGAGGGATTGTATAACAGTGAAGGAATTTCTCTTTTACTTTTCGAAGAGAAGAACAAACTGGAGGGGAGGGGTGGGCAGAGAGAAAAGTGTAACAATGAATAAGTGGAAATCCAAAATCTCTATAAATTTTCATTAAAAATAATAATTTAAAAAGGAAAATATATTAATTCTGCTATAACACATATTATGAAATAGCACAAGTTGCTGTTAATTTGCCATGAAACGTGAAATATGTTTGCTGTGGAAAAATATAAGCTTACTATCATAAATTTGATGCTTAAGTTTACAAATAAGAATATTTGTGAAAAAAATATATACTGACAGTTTAACATGCCTAAACAAGCATCAGAGGCCTAGGGACCCACTGACCACAGTAGGTACAAACCATTGATAAGGGAATGTTACTGATAATAACTTGCCTATAAAGCTACTGGCCTCAGCATGTGTGAATTCTAATAAGGGGATGTGACTTGTTACTGCCCATATTGCTAAGATAGCATGTTGTTGTTGTTATGTGCTGTCGAGTCACTTGCGATTCATAGCGACCCTATGGACAACAGCCCTAAACTCTGCTCTGTCCTGTGCCAATTGCACT